TTCCCCCTTCTTTTGTGAGGAACCCCCCCCCAGGACACCCGCTTTGGGGGATTTACAGCCAAATCAGGTGTTCCCGAGTCGGGCCGGGCGGGCAGGGGCTGGGCCGCCGCCTGAGCAGGCGCCTCTCGCCTTTCCCGCCCTGCCCCGGCAGGAGGGTGCGAGGGCGGGTCACAAACACTCGGTCAGTCCAGGAGTGAGTTTAATACAAAACATACAAAGCCAACGTGAAATGCAGTTACTGCATTAAACTGTGCAAACGGTAATAGTCACAACTGTCGACGTTTAAATAACGGTGTAAAACATGGCAACTGCCAAGTAAGAACAAAGCCGAGAGGAAGACGAGGGAGCTGTTTTTTCCACAGACAGCTGGAGCATGTGTTCTGGTGCTGCCGCGCGAATTAGCTGTAACTGCTTACAAAACTAATCGTGCAGTTTCAGGGCAAAGACACAGGTACAACGTTGCCCAGAAAGGCCAGACTTCAAAATAAATTAATTAGGAAAAACACAAATAACACAGGTGTACAAACAGGCTCCCTGGGGGGTTACAGGGCCTTCATCGTCGTATTTCAGAGCCAGCAAATTTAGGGATGAAGTTAATGAGCTGCACAGAGCAACGACCTAAGGGCCAGTCTGCGAAGCCCTGGGCAGCCTCCCCAGCACGGGTGCTCAGGTGCCCAGCAAGAAATAATGTCATGTTTCCAGTTTGTAGGAATAGCTTGTCCAAAGCCTCTGCATTTTTAATGACTGAAATTAATTCTTTTTATGCTGGACCAATGCTCTGAACGGCTTCAAGCTGTGACGGAGGATGGCTGAGGTGCACTCCCCATCGATTTATCAGGAGCCAGAACTCCTCCAAGTCAGTTTTCCTTCTGTGCTCAGACACCAGCTGGAGCATTTCCCATTAACATCCAGGCTATGCGTAGTACCTGCCAGATTTTGTCCTGTAATACATTCATCACATTTGTACATGAAGAACAAAAGTTAGCTTTGCAGCTGTTAAAAAAAAAAAATAAACTAATTACAAATTTTGAGTAAAGTCCTCAAGAAACAATTGATAATGGGATATCACAACTTACAGAACATTGTGCAGCAAAATTTAAAGAGAGACTTTACATACCAAATAGGAAAAAAAAAAAAGGAAAAAAATATATATGACCTATATAGAAATTAAAAAAGGAAAAAAATATATATATGACCTATATAGAAATTAAAAAAAATAAAAAAACCCAGCCAGATAATAAAATAATTTTGCTCTAATACACAGCAAACATTCCTGCCCAGCCACTAAGATGATGACATTTTCAGGCAGGATCTGAACAATGGAGAAGAAAGTACAGATTTAATTCCACAAATCCTCTTCTGCATCTGCTGTTGTGTGGATCTTCACCTGCTAACAGTGCACCCAGGGAACTGCCCGGCAGGAGTTCTTAGAGGTGACTGAAAATTGGCGTCACTGAGCTGCTTTTGCCCCCTTTGGCCGCCACATGCCAAAGGAGCAACAAGAATGGAGAATTTGTAAAAACAGCGAAGCGTCTTTCATTCCATCATTGCTCTAAACTGCTGCGTGTACTTAGACAGCTCCTCGGTTTGATCCCGGAGTTCCCTCATGGCATCTGCGTTTGGATATTGTATTGCAGCGTTTTTGGTGGCGAGAGCCAGATTCTTCAAGAGGCTGCAAAACCGGCTGCTGCTGTGGAGAATGTCATTCCGAGCATCTCTTTCTTGAGTTTCCTGGCAGAGAGAATCCACTAGCTTTTGTCCCACCATAATGATCAATTTGCTGTGGGATATGAAGACTTCGGGTGGCTGGTTGCTGCTCAGGCTATTAGTAAATACACCAATTGCCTTGTGAAGTGCACCAAAACACAGCTTACAGTGTTCTGGGAGAGCGATTTTCTTTGCAGAGTCCTGCTTGCTTTGAATTACAGTCTTTTTTGCAGATGGCAAAACCTGGAAAAAGGTTAAAAAAAAAAAGATAGACTCAGCTTGATGGAACACTGATTGTTTCTTTATTTGTTCTACCCTATATTCTTCACACGTTTCTTCACTTACAGGGAGTTTTATTAGTTAATAGTCTCCAAATTGCCCCAGCCCAGGAGTCTTTTACAATAATTTCTCTTTCCATAAAGTACTGGACTGCAATGTGGTATTTTCTCCTGATAGCCCTTTCCCCAAACACATTTCACTGAACACAATTTTAATAATGGATAGCACACAGAGTGCTGTAGCTAAACATCAATCCTTTACACAGCCTGGACTTCAAGCTTTCAGATAGTACAAAACATTCAGACTTGATCTTTAATGGTGCTGACTTCATGAGGGATATGAATGATTAAAACTCTACAATAACAAGAGTCTCGATCCTTATACCGGTACATGACAAGGTATTTTGAAATTCTAACTCTCACAGCCTTATCCCCAATGATACACAAAGGCAAGCAAATAAATGGTATGACTTTAAACTAGAGTAGTTTGTTACATTTGAGGAAAATAAATGTTTTGCACGGATTTTCAGCAGTAATTCTAAGAACTAGTTCTGGGCAAATGAACTATGAGAAAACAAATAGATCTCTATGTATAGATATGTGCATCCAAATGCAAATTATTTTGAATTTTAGCAAGCACAGAAATTGGGGACTAAAAGTGCTTATAAGTAATAGTTTTCAAAAATCAGAAATACCTTTGGTTTTGAATCTGTACTCTTCTTCGCTACTTCTTTACCTGAAATGATTTTCTGTGCCTGTTACAAATCACAATGAAAGCAAAGTTGAAATGATTTACATAAAAACACATCTATATTTAAATATTCTCTCTTACTTCAGGGGGAAACAACTACTTGCTATGCAGCCTTCACGTTATGGACAATAGTGGTACATTTATTAGAAGCAACTGTAGGTTTTTTCCTACTAAAAATTTAGCATCTGATCCTGCAAGATCTAAGACTGAAACCAACATCAACAAAACATAACATTTCCTAAATTCTAAGGACAAGCCAGCATTTCTTTGTGAAACCAAGAGAGTTATATTCTTAGTAGACATTTCAGTACTTCTAAGGAGAATGATTCTAACAAACATCCAAAATTATTCTAACAAATAAATTTGATAATTCACAGTAAGAGTTTAATTTGTTAAATTAGAAAATTTTCTATGAAATCATGCTTTCCAATACACCTCAGGTTAGAAAGTTAACAGTTCTTGTATAGTCATGTCAGAGTCAAACAAACAAAATGTACTGGCAAGAAGAGAACTACTAGCCAAAAGAGAAGAAACAAATTGCTAACCCCCAGCTAAAAGCTGTCTCTCAAATGAATTTAAGTGGGCAAGCTAAAAACCTTTTCTCAGTGCTGGCTGGCTGGCTGCCTGGGTAAATTCTCAAGTGCCAGTTCTCTTTATTACTTGAAATTACTGATCATTCTACATATGCCATCTAGGACTCTAACAAAATCCTGAATTCACATAAAGTCTGGAAAATAGGAAGTTGCGCAAACTGAATTTGGCACTAGTGCAAAGACAAAATAGCGCTAATAGCTTAATGTCTGCAAATGATCAGGAATATAGATGGCAAAATCCAGTTACGCTAACCTGTAACTGAACATAATCACAGTCCTCGGCGGCATTTTCTTTTGGTTTCTCGGAAGAGACCTGACTTTGGTTGGGTTTATCAGGAGCATTTCTTTGAAGTGAATCTATTTCTATCCTTCTCGGCACTGTGATTTGTTTTGCCATTTTGTATTCTGGGTTCACTTTTGATTGCTTCATTTCTTGTTCCTTCTCGTTCTTTCTGAAGAGAAGCTTTCCATTGGCAATGATGATGGATACAAACCTCTTGATGTCATCTGGAATTGTGCGGGCTACCATAACAAAGCGATCGAGATCATCTGGGTTGTTCTGAGGTTTCCTGAGGACCAAAGCCTCTAGTGACCAGCTGCAGTTGTTTAGAGCTTCTCTTGTTTCTGTTAAGATTTTGAATGAGTTCATAAGAATTTCTAGCTGCTTTTTAATTCTGGTCTGAAGGTTGTTGTCAGTGAGGTAAGAGGCATTTACCTTTACGACTTGAGCAAAGGCCAAGAATTCTCCCAGTGATACTTTTATGTGATCGACTGCTCTATGGATTTCTTCAATGCTTTTCTCTAGGTGCTCTTGTAATCTCCATTTACTGCTCACAAAGATCATTAAACTCGCAACCGAGCTGGATACACTGTGCTGCAATCTAGTCAGTGTCTCTATGGCTACCTCAAGGTCCAGTTTAACTTCTTTGGCAGGCTCTTCTGATGATGACATAGAAAAAGACTCAGCAGAAGAGTTTGAGGATGTAGAGAGTGTGCTGCTTCTGCTGTCCACACTAGAAAGAGATAATCTGTCGTGTTCTAATTTGGCATCTCTTGAGAGCTGTGGAGGAGCACTGTATGCTTGGTCTCCAGAACTATCGCTGTTTTTTTCCATCTCTTTCTTGGACTGCAAAGCGGTGGGCAAACCTTTTGGAATATCATAAACATTCTCTTCAGAGATCTGATTCTCAGCCTTTGGAGCCAGGAAACTTGGGGGTACATCACAGCTACCATTTTGTGGCAAAAGGAGCACGTCCCGCGAGGATGGAACATCATAGAGATGGATATCTGGAAACGTTAGTTTCCGTTGTGTTGGTGGAATATCATATAATTGTGGATTTACAACTTTGCTTTCAGTATTTGTTGTCAGTGCCTTGTACCTGGCTGGTGGTATATTGTACAGCACCTGGTTCTCCAAGGAATGGCCAGGTGGGTTTTGGTTTAATCCTGTTTTTTCAGGTGATACCGGAATATCATAAATCCATTCTGACTTTCGAGGATTTGGCAAGGTATTGTAATGGCCCCAGAACTTTTTCTGAGATTCATTTTCTGAAACATCAGTCTCTCTTTTGGGAGGGACATCATATAACTGCAACAGAGCACACAGGATTTATAAGCAGTGTTTTATACAAGAAATAAGAAACAAAACTCAGTTCTCGGGGCATGCAAATGCATGCAACTCCAGTAACGTCAATGGAACTGCACCACAAAAAGGCTAGCCCATAATTTTTATTTTCTTTCTAAAATGCACAAGCGGCATATATGAAGGTTAAAATATTTTGAGCATGGGTGATTAAATCATACAGCAGTGTCCCCAGCCAGTGAAATCTGTGAGCTCTTCCCCGACTCCTTTGGGGTGCGAAACTTTCACAGTTTTCCGAAATGGCTACAAGAAAAGTGAAATGCCAGTTTATTAGTAGGTAACGTTAAACGCTCAGTTTTACAGAAGGAAGGAGGTAAGATTTTATTAGCCTCTGCATAAGAAAACACTTGTTTTTCCAATATTCCCACCCACATTCATATGCATACCCTGACAAAAAAAATAAATCGCCAACAGACACAACTGACCATTCTCAAATAAGTGCAACGAGTTTAAATTTTTACTTGATACAAGTTTGGGCAAGATCTGTATCTGTCTGAGCAATGCCTTAGAAGTGTGTGTGTATGTGCACGGCTGAAGTCTGTACGCTGGAAAATGCGAATGCAAGACCGCTTCCTGTGTAAGAAAGTCCGGACTAATACCAACAGGCGCTTCAGGACAGATTGTACCTGGATGCCTTACAGGCACGAAGCACAAGCATGAGGAAGTGTAAGGAGCTATAGGAATATGCAGCAACAAGAAACAATCGAAGGTACCACTATGCAATAAAAATTTTGGAAAGAACTGGCCAGGTCAGGCTTCCCCATCTGCAGAAAACGTGCACGAGAAGGGGAGCCCAGACAAGCGTGTTTCAGACCAAAGCCAGAATTTTCCAGATTGCCCAGGAACAAAGAATTCTAAGAAAATTTGATTTTGCAAGCAACGATAAACCGTGTCTCCGAAAGGAAATCTGCTCCCAGGCTGTTGCAGCTGGTCCGTATGATTGCTAACAGCCACGAGGATGTCAGGAATGCCAGCTTCAACGAGCAATTGCTCATATGCCAGCACCCCAGTCCTACTGTCACTGCTGAACAGACTCCGTGCAAGACTGGCTTCTCCAGCCGACGGCACTTCTCTTTAAATCCACAAAACCAGGAAGCCTCAGATTTCCTGTGCTGGGATGGTCTGCCCTGAGATCCTGCACCTCAGCCCTGGGCACGTGTGCTAAGGAGCCTGTCAAAATTCTCTTGGATCCTAAAGCCATTCAGAAAACCCAAAATATTTGGCACTCAACTAACAGAGTTTCACTCGAGGCATTTTATTTGTTGTGAAATTTCAGGTCAGCCCTTTCTTCAAGGACGGTACTTGTCAAACGGTGGGGAAGAGATGGGAAGCCTGCTCCCGCCCCCCCCAAAGCCAGGTGTGCTCCACTCCCAAAAAAGGTGGCAGCAGAGTGCTGCACGGAATGGGGACAGGTAGTTTCTACCTGCTTAAATATTACAAACAGACATTCAAGAATGTAGGGTATTGAATTTGCTTTTCACGCTGTCATAAAAAGAAGTTAAGGCAAGAGATCTTGTTGCCTGCAGTCTAAAAAGCAAACGCAAACGCAGCGGTAGTCCTAGTCCTGGCAGGTACCCTGACTGTCCCGGAGCCAGGTAGTATTTGTCTCTTTAATATGAAGGACAAAGTACTGCACTGAAGGTGTGCTGGTCTTATCCCCGCGATCACCTTGAGGGAGGTTCAGCACACATGCCCAGCGTCATAGTAATGAGAGATTATTCTCTTGTGTCCAACAAGTCTTACTTACGTTACCCACTGGCGAGTCTTTCCGGTTAACAGCTCCTGCCGTTTCCGGGCCGGAGGGGATGTTGTAAAGCTGCTTCTGCTCTTCTTGGAAACACTCGGTGGATCTGACCAGCACAGAGCCCTTTCGTGCAGTTGGTGGAGTGGCACCGCTCTGATCAAAGGGGAAGAAAACCAGGTTGGCTTCAATCCTTTGGAAAGCCCACTGAAGACTTCGGTGGAGTCAAAGGCTTTCGGGTCATATACGGCGTAGCTCCTAGTTTGGACAGCGTGGGCCAAACTCAACCTGCTGGAGAGCTGCTGGAGCCCTGCACGGGAGGGCGGTGGGCGCTAGGTGGTGCAAGGCAGCCGCCAGCTACACGCCTGGCTTTGGGTCTGAGCAGGGATCACCCCGCTTACGCAGTGGGTGACGCAACGTCATCTGTGGATAACTTGATAATAAATGAATTTGAGTGGGTTCAACCCTGCACTGCCAGGGAGCATAGGGTGTGCGGGGAGGCTCCGTGGACGTGCTCCAGTCCCACACACACACCTTTGTGTGGTAGGTGATGGGATGGGGCCTGGCGTCTGTCCCAGCTGAGTGACCTGCACAGGCTGCAGCGAGACATAGTGGAAACGTGGTGACATTCGCTCTCCCCAGGGAAGCAAGATATCAAGAGCAAGATCATGTAACAGGATGCTTCAGTGGTAGATGCAATCGACATACTGCCCTTACCCTGAGTGCGTCATGGTTACATGATCTAATCCCTTACATTTTCATGCCCAGGAGGCGGGTGGTGTGGGAGACATTTAGTTTCTTTTTGTACATGCACTAGTGACTCTTCTGTAAACATCTTGAAACCTTCCCGATCAAATGATACAGAGACAAAGCACATTTCCTGATGGATAAACCAAGGCAGAGAGGCTGACGCTCTGATACTGAGAATTCATCTGTGCCCTGGAACTCAGTAATAGTAAAACTGAAAGCATTTATTAGAAATGTACCAAATTTAAGACATATTTCTCTAAATATCTAGCAACTTCAAAAGAAAACTGCTTTAGGTTTTGAACTTCCCTAAAAATATATGGTTTTCTGCCAAGTTTTACAAAAAGCAATCAGGGAAGCACTAGAATTTACCTTAAAATCTGTTCTGAGGTCCTACAGGATCCCAGCTGCATGGGGGGGGACCATGGCAGGACTCACCTGCGTGAGTAAGGACTCCCGATGCTGTGTGGATGGAACATCATACACTTCACTCCTGATGTTTGGGACTGAAGCCCAGCACGCTCTTGGGAGAGTAAGCAGGTGCTTTTAGGGGGGGGGAAAAAAACAATAATGAGAAAGCTGCAGTGAGCAGTAAGCTCAGGACATCTTTGAAAACTCAACTGGTTGAATAGGCCACCATTAGAGTAATTAAAAGTGATTAAAAGTGATTAACTTTTAATTAAGTGATGAAGTGATTAAAAACCTTTCAGCTTTTCACTGATGGTGATAGACAGGAACTGACCTTACAAGCAGGCATGGCATTTTTTCCCTGTAATTCTCCTTTGACAGCATTTCTGCTTTATTTCAGATAAGATAAGATTTGGCACATACAAATCAAAGATGATCTGCCTTACTAACCAAGGGAGGGGAAAGATTCGGAGAAAATCCAGCTTCAGTTATCACTTAAATCTTTAGACTACCCAAAAGCAGAACCACTAAAAAAATACAAGCAGGCATGGCATTTTTTCCCTGTAATTCTCCTTTGACAGCATTTCTGCTTTATTTCAGATAAGATAAGATTTGGCACATACAAATCAAAGATGATCTGCCTTACTAACCAAGGGAGGGGAAAGATTCGGAGAAAATCCAGCTTCAGTTATCACTTAAATCTTTAGACTACCCAAAAGCAGAACCACTAAAAAAAGAAAATTTTGGAATTTCTACTTCTCCAGTCTCACAGAGCCATTAGGTCAAGCCACATTTAGTGGGACGAAGAGCAGCAAAAAGGTACAGGCTGAGATGCGTTATTCTGTAGTAATGAAAAACTGACTCATTTGGAAGGAGTAAACATAGTTACCTTGATGTCCTGTCCAGCTCCATAAACAGAAGCCCGATATGGGAATTATGTTATTTAGGTCAATTACAGATTAATTCTCCTGTTTGCTTAAAACATCATTTTAAGAGCTATGACCAGATCTGTGGGACAATTAGTTGACACACCAAAATATGAATGTTGGGAAAGGACTTTTTTTAAGATCAACCCCAAAAACATGGAGTTTTGTTCATTTAGCATGGGTTTAGCCTGGCTCTGCACAGCTAGTTTATAAATGGAGTATTGTAAACTACTGACCCACAGAAACACCGCTGTGTTACAATAAATTATTTAAAATTGGAGGTAGCGTTCTCCATCATGTAAGTGAGCGTTGTAGTGACTAAATTTAGGGGAAATATGGTAGAGGAACAAGACTCCAGCTTTACAACTGCTTGCTTTGTCTTTGCGAAAGCTCTTAGCTCTCATCTGAGGAAAGGGAATGATGAGTGAACACAAATCCCCTTAGCGCTCTGTGATACGAGCCATGTTGCTTGCAGAGGCAGAAAAGAGACTTTCCTGAGTAGAAAGGGTAAAAGGTAAGTGGTACCAAGAAAGCCATCCTTAGCCCAGGTCTGTTTTCAGATGGACAAATCTTACTCAATATATAGCAAAAAGGAAACTCACTGAATACCATACCTTACTACCACTTCGAGAACAAATTATTTCAAAGTACTTTCAGTCACCGTAAAGCAAGAAGGTGCCCTGTGTATTAGGCAACAAATAAAGAAGTGACAAGGCTTTTCTATAGGGTGAAAGCCCACAGGCTTTGAGGGATTTTGTTTTGTTTTATTGCTTTCAATCAGCTCCCTCAAAGACTTACAGTGGCTTTACCCAGCTGCTCAGAGGACAGCTGAGTATGCCAGGAACTTTGCCAGTTGTCCCATAGGATCTACACGGGGCGGTCCGGAGCACTGCAGTTCGTTCTGCCCTCGCACAGGCTGTTCACCCCTGAGCCTCCCCATGGCTTGTGACCACCCTGGTACAGTTGGTGTAGCAACAGCTGTGATGTTGTGCAAGAGGCAACTCAGGCAAATCTGAACTTCTAAATATTAAAAGCAGGCTTGGACTTTTTTTTTTTTCTTCTCCCCTCTGTTAGTGTAAACAAGGCTCAGGTATACAAACTCATGAAGTGACGGAGACACAGGAATAGCCAAGGAGCTCTTCTGTTGGGCCATTCATTCAGATAAAGAATAATAGACGACATTTTCAGCCTGATTTGCTGGCACAACATGGAAAATTTGTATCAATCTCACATTCCATTTGCAAATGCCTTCTTTAGGATTAGGAATGTGGAGAAATCAGATCACAGCAAGTGCAAAAGGGTCTTTTGTAGCTATTACTCAGTTTGAGCTTGCAGTTATGGTAGCTGTACACAAAGGCTGAATGTGCAGCTGCAGTGCTGAAAATTAGGTTTCAGTCACCAGAGATATACCGAGTTTGTCTGTTTTCCAGCACCCATTTGCCACACAGAAGGAACCAGCACCTCGGTTTCCATAACTTGCCTTTCGGCACAGTGGGATGAAAGCTGCCTGACCGAGTCCCATAAATCAAATGATCATTAAATCAGCCTAAAAGGCTATACAGTTCTGGGCTGAATTTCTTTCCTTTTCCAATTAACATTTCCAACGTGATTCTCGTACACGGAATGAAGAGCCACCCAGGGCTGAAAAGCTCATGGGACTGAACAAAAACTTGTACTTGAACTCCCTCCACACCTGCTCTATTTACCTTTGATTGTGAAAGATTCTCCATTCATTTTATGCTGAAGAAAGCACAATTTTTTTTAAGACACTTGATGTAACATTTAGTCAAAGTACATTTTCCACTTACATGTTTCATTTGAACGCCCAACGCAAGGAGCAGGGAGAAAGAAGAGGCCAGGCCAGGCAGCTGTAGTGAAACCCTGGTAAGCTAGGATTGCAATTGCCCTCCGTAACTGGGGGGACGGGTGGCTGCTCTCATCCCACGCACCCTGGTCACTGTCTCAGCAGCAGCAAGAACAGGCTGGGAGAGAGATTGATTCAGGCCACGCAACCAAACCCTGTGTCCTCCAGCATGTCTAAAGTAGGTGCTGCTACTTTGTGCAAGCGTAGTGACAACCTTGAGTAGCAGAAGAGAGATGCAGCAGCACTCTGAGCTTGCTGAGGCACTGGAAATAGCAGGATCTAGACCAAAGGCAGCAATCACACAGCAAAGGGTGATTTTTTTTTTTTTTTTTTAATTACAAATCATCTTCCTGTGCAGCTGGATGCAAAGACCCCACATGTGCCCACAGGACTCTGGATGGACGCATACTGTAGACCATCAGAGGAGAAAGTTGTGTGTCTTGTTATTTTAACTTTGGGGTAGGTTTGTAAATCATTTCTAGATTCTTCCAAACAAATACTGTATTCTGTACTTCCTGCCCTATTTTACAGCTGCTTTAAACTGTCAGAAGAAGTGAGGGACTACAGAATATAGAGACTCTCATCTGCTGCCCAGAGCAGCATTTCTCACATAATGCTGTAAACTGTAGTAGAATTGATGGGAGTTTCCTAAACACCATTTATTAGAATGGCTTTGCTGCAAATTCCACTGAAATGCTCAGGCCAACAGCCTTTATTATTTTCCCACTCCCAATGATAGTTTTAATAATAACTTCTGTTACTGTTATAGCTGCTTATATTCTTACCTGGTTTCTTGAGCTTTGGGTCCTTTCACTGAGCAGCTGTGCAGCCAAGGCTGGTACCTGATATATTCTTTGCGCAGGTATGGTAGACACCCTAGCTGGAGATTTAACCCACCCCTCCATCTTCTCATAGGTAGATGACAAGACGGTAGGCTTGGGGATGGAGGGAACCTGGTAGATGTTTTGTTGGCTCGCTGGCGACTCTGCGGAGTCACTCGGGGTGGAAGGAGGCAGCAGGACAGCCTGAGAGGCGGCGAGGAGCTGGAGGCGGTTAGCGGGGGCCAGGCCCTGCCTGCCGTGGAGGGAGCATTTCCACCAGCCCTCACTGCCAATGACATTTTGCTCCAGAACTGTCAGGATGTCTCCTTTGCGGAAGGCCAGCTCATCGGAGCACTCCGCTTTGTTGTCATACAGCGCCTTCGCCAGGGTATTCTGGAGAGAGAGGAAAAAACATAGGCGTTGTGCTGTTACACCAGCAAAAATGTTAATTAGTTTCTGGCTTGGTGTTTATCTCCACCTTAATTTCAATTTAATTCAAGTCCACCCATTTTCACATTAAACAACATTTCTCAGAGCATTGGTTTCAGAGAGTTAAACGTTTGCAGTCTGTGTCTGCTATGTTCAGTGCAGTAAAGAAATAGATAATAATAATACCGCAATATGTTTCTTCACCACCTTTTCCCCCTGAGGCTCTTGAAAAGCACCACTAACATTAATTACTTAGACTTCTTACTTATGAACATCCCTATATGAAAAATAGGTAGTTTTTCCCACTGGCATTCTGTGAATTCTTTGTCAGAAACTGCAAAGAAAATGCATCACCCATCCAAAAATAAAACTCATGCCTTCCTGACTACTACCCAATTTATCTGAGGAGTTCAACTGTACATGAAAAAGGCTAATTATTTCTTACCTAAAAAAAAAAAAGAAAAAACCCAACCTCGCTTATTTTCAATTTATCTGAGGAGTTCAACTGTACATGAAAAAGGCTAATTATTTCTTACCTAAAAAAAAAAAAGAACAAACCCAACCTCGCTTATTTTCCTTCAAACTTTTTCTTTTCTCAGAGCCTTATGAAGACAGACCTCTCAGTAACGTCAATGCTAAGGGGGTTAATGAGTGCCCAGCGGTAACACCAGTGGCAGAAATACTGCTGAAGGGCAGCAGTGGGCTGCAGTACTTGTGAAGACCCAGACTCCAGCTAGCTGCATCCCTGTCCACCCCAGGCTAGAAAGTTGGATCCTACTGATTCAGAGCATCCCAGGCTAATAATTTATGTGACACATTAGCTCAGGGAAAAATCTAACTGTGCACAGAGTGACACCAAACAAATAGCTCTGCTGGTGGGTAAGTCTTCATGGCAGGTCAGTACGTTTGTGAGCTTATCTTCAGGTAAGCACACCTGAAACAGTGTCTGTAAACAGTGTCTGTGTTTCTCTCCATCACACAGACATCACCTGTATCCAAATACTTCTGTCTCCGGTATATCTTTCAGCATCTTCATAGAGTGCTCTTATTGTAAACTTTTTTTAGACAGGAAACCAAGCAAGAATAGAGCAAGCAACTTCCCTAAGATCACAGAAGATCTGAGACAGCAAATGTTCGTATTTCCCAGCTTCTTCACCACAGGGCAGCCCTACCTGTCTCAGATGAAGCCTATAAATTTCTGGCACCCACGAGCATGTAGGTCACCACATTTTATTTTTAGCATATTTATTTTGCGCATTTGCTTACTCATTACAAGATGACAGTTAAAAGAATGAAAAGTAGTAGCAGCAGGTAGCTTTATTCACCTGAGGCATTTGTGCAAGGCATAGAGCGCGCTGTGGACGTAGTGTTTTTCAGTACAAGATAGTATTTGCTTTCAGCTTTAAAATGAGACTGACTGCTTCCTGGTCAGCGGGACACTGGCTGTGTTTCAGCATTAGTTTCTTATCAGAAAGTGCAAGTAATGTCCAAAGAGATAGTACCCAAATAGGAAACGTGATGCCTTGTATTTTTGTCCAGAGCATTTGCTGTAAAACAACAGCTGGTTTGAAGTTGCAGCAGAAGAAAACCAATTTGTCAGCTCAGCTGATGGAAGTGGCCTGTTGTTAGCAGCATGCATTTCTTCGTCAGGGCGGCCATGAACAATGGCCTTCTTATGATACATGGGCTTGTCCATCAGCAGCTGCCAGAGATGAACAACAGTCCCATTTACCTTATGTCATAGCCTGGTTAAAATAGTCTTCTTGCCTTGAACGTGGGAGCCCACTTTCTATTTGGACAATGCCAAATGCTCTGAACCACCTGTGTTGAAGCCAGGCCTTCAGGAATCCCACCACAGAGTGCAGCCCAGGGTGGGTTTGGGCTTCACACGACGTTGTTGCAGTTGTAAAAAAAGGAAAACAGCCAACTTTTCCTATTATTTATCAGCAACACTTCTAGATCTGGCTTAACATTCAATTCCTTCTTGCTGGGCACCGTACAGACGCGCTGAAAGACAGACCCTCTTCTTCAGACCTGAAGAGGATGGGCAGAGGGACACTCTCCCCCTTTTGCAAACAGGCGACTGAAATGTGAAGAGCCTTATCCAGGCGCACACAGGAAATCGGTGGTGGAGCCAGGAAGCCCGAACTCAGGAACTGAGCCCCTGTCTAGTGCATTAGACAACAAGACCATCCTTCCTAGTTGCACCAACACAAATAAGAGGAAAATTTGGTTCACGCTATGGTTTTAAAAGGCATCTAAATGTTGACATTTCCCCAGCTAATTCTTGCCTGTGGAAACAGCATACTAAACACATTATAGGGCCTAATTCTTTAATTAATCAGTGTATGAAGCTACGCAAGTCTAATTCCAAATCTCATTTGTTTTAGAGTAAATATGTTGATTTCCACTAGGTCAGAATTTGGCCTGTACATGTCAGTGAGAATTTCTGCAAATAATTACTGTAGACTACAACCTAAGTTAGGCGGAGTGGAGGTACTCTTCTCATCAGCGATACTTCAGCAACAATAAAACATGACTGCAGCAAGTATTAGCAGAGATTATTGGAATTGTTTCTCCTTTTCCTAGACATTGCTAGGTCTGCTTTGCTGCAAAACGAGTGAAGCGAGAGAACAGCCAGGTCAGTGAAAGCAACAGGGAGGTCTAAGCTCCATTCAACAGCAAAGGTATTCCACAGAAAGGTTGTCAAAACTCAACTGACCAAAACTCAACTGACCAATGTTTCATTTGGCAAGGTCAGATGAATATATTCAGGGGCACCCACACTGAATGAAAAGTTAAATTTTAAACTTACACCATGAAAGTCACAAACCTTTTCAACAGAGGCGTCTCTTTGCTTGAAGCGCAGCACACATTGCTTTGGTTTTGCCAATAAAGCTGTGCAAACATCCAAGGGCGAGTAGCCCACAGCACGACACCAATTCAAAGCAGAACACAGTGGTTCAAATTTTGAAAGGTGGTCTCCGATTTGTGGAGCTCAAAATAGGGCATGTGGGCTCGCATCTGTAGGCAGCACGAACACCCAGGAACCTTTGAAATCATCTCAATTGCAAGCCAAGCAGGGGATTAAAAAAAACACAAAAAAAATATAGGACACCTTGGAAAACCTGACCTAGCTAGAACAACAAATCTGTTTATAGATCATCTCATATCCTATCCGTAGGGCTGGAACCAAACAATTTAAGACCTTAAATAGAGAAGTGATGGAGACAGGCCACAACCTCCAGACTACAGAACATGAATGAATTGAAAGATTGTCAGACTTCTGCAGCTCAGCGGAGCGCTCAAACAGCAGAGGGAAAAAAGAAAAAAGAAAAGAAAAGAAAAGAAAAGGTTCTTCCACCTAAGGCAGTGCTAAATTAAATTTCAAGTTTCAGGACACGTGGTCAGTACTATAGAGTTGGAGAGCGAATCTTTTCCATCCACTCTCAGTTTCAGTATGGCATAAGTGCACAGCAACATCATTCAATTTTTCATGATTTTCTTTCAGGAGTACCAGCCCGTCACTGGCGTAACAGGCCAGCCACCGGCAGAGATACGATTCCAGGTGACAGTGAAAGGCATTAGTGATCTAACTGGCTTGCAGCCCTTGGTGGCATTTTTCAGTGCATTTTAAAAAGGGTAGAGAAACTTAGGGAGGTATTTTAATGAAGATTTCTTATCCTTTTGACTTGGAACTAGTCTCTGAAGGAATTTATAAAAGGTAGAAATGTGTAACACAGAATACATTAGCAATTTATGACGAGCAAACTACAGGAAGGTCCCAGGCAAAACTCTTTCAAAAAGACAGCGTCTTGTTGCAGTGCAGTATGAGGATGCAAAAAAAAAAAAAAAACCACCCACAAAACCAACAACAAAGCACTAAGACAAAACAAAAACCCCCCACCAGCATCTTCCCTGAACAGACTCTTCTGTGTATTTTCAGTGCCTGCAGCCTGGCAGAAAGTTGCAGCAATACATTGAAAAACCAATACAAGCAGCACCATACCACTGAAGTAACTTCATTTCTGCTGAATTCTAGTCTCCCTAAAAACACAGGAGGAGGAACATTTTCACAAGGTGTAAAAACAACAGGTCAAACAGGTCTGCCTTTATGTGTTGCTCCGTGTTCTCCTTTGCTCCTCTATTTTACAGGACTATTAAGTCCCCTGTATTTCTTGTTTCCTTTCCAAGCATTCTGGTTGCTCGTCCAGCCTCTCAGGACCTGATCACACCAGGGCTGCTGTGGAAGACACCTGTGAAGCATTTCTTTTATGTAGTGTTATCGCCAAAAGAATGTAGGCAATACTGTTCATATAGGCTCCATTAGGTTTTTTGTGGATTCAACAAATATTAGCCCAGGATACTGAAACAGATGTTGAAGATCAGCCTAATACTGGTAAAACAAACTGTAACAAACCCGCAGCAATGCCTAGCATCACAGGTGCTGATGTGTTTAGCTGTTTTATAGGATACACTTAAAAGCAAGCACTGAACTAGCTGGCTCCAGTACTGGAAAGTGCTGTAGTTCTGGCAAAGCGCTTGCTATAGGTCAGCTGATTTTCTAGTGGAGTTTGAGGTGGTACTGAATCCCACGGCGCTAGAAGAAACCTGCTGGAGCCACTGAGCTGGGTCAGTTATGAAAGCTAGATTGGTTATGTCCGTGTTCCGCTGAGATTAAACCCCTAGCAATACTCCCACGAGGAGGGTATGGCCATACTGAGTAAACCAAAGCACTGCAAGGTTGGGTGAGGAACCGCTACTCTCCCGTTTGTGCCCTGTCCCTTACCAGCATCCTGCCCACAGCCAGCTCGGCAGCTCAGTCTCCTACAGGCTCCATCTGCTCGTGTTAAGAAACAGAGTTATTGAGAAGCCACTGGATGCCAAAGCTGTTCCCATTTGCTTTCCAAAGAAATCTCATTGTTTTGAGGCACTTTTAAGAGCACTCATCCCAGCCAATTGAT